GGGTTGCGAAATTTTGGAGAGGCGAAGCCCTGCTGGATTGGAGACTCAGAACTTAACAAGATTCAAGCTTTGGGACTTCGAGGACTTGCACATCCAGATCTGGTGCTCGACGACCGTCAACGCCAAATAAGGCAGGAGTTCGAGAGGACCGGATCTCAGATCTACGCGTACGAACTCCGGATCTAGGCTTGGTCTTAGATCCCGAGACTTGAGCGATTGTTTCCTTGGTGAATCAATCCCTCCCGGCTATTATTTCCTTCGTGGAATAATACCCGTCGTACTGCGTAGATCCGACTGGATCTAGATCGCGCGGTGGTCCACGGCAAACAACCCCGGCGCAGGCAAAGAACCCACAAAGCAAGAGACCGCAAAACAGGATCTTGCGATTCGTTCGACAAATAAGGAGAAAGTTGTAATTTTCTTTATTTCTTGTGTTATTTGATTTTCGTTGTAACCGGATCTTATAAAAAGACCGGATCTTTGTAATCGATAAACTATTACAAGAATTTGCAATGGAATCAATGATGAAGAAAACAACGATTTTTCCCGCGAATAGTAACCACTTTAATAATCTGACCAAGGTTAAAGTGTGCAATATTAATCAACTGTTATTTTGATAATACTGAATTTATAAGCTCATCAAAATAGTTAAGCTTACTTCGAAGCACCTCTGCAACATCTAATGGTCTTTGCTTCTCTAGCAACTGCGGTATTAACAAGAAACAAGATGAACACACGAACAAATCGAAGCACCTCTGCAACATCTAATGGTCTTTGCTTCTCTAGCAACTGCGGTATTAACAAGAAACAAGATGAACACACGAACAAATTATTAGTGCAAACACAATAATCTCATGAAGAAAATAATTAGTACTAAATAATAATATGCATAAACTTGAATGAGGAAAACATAGATAAGACAATTGATAAAACATAATCAACAAATGATATTGTGATTCACTTACATTTATTACATCTTCAAAACTATTCTGGAACTAAAGGATATAGATCCCCGCAACATAGTATTTGTAGAATGCTACGTACACATATCAGATTTTTTCGCCAAATTAAAGGATAACAGAGGTAGCATGTCTACATTGAGATGCTATTTGTTCTATTTAGGAATCAGGGGGCTATGAGCAAGTTGGTCGTATAGCTCTAGTTTATAGTCAAGTTAATGCCCCTGAGCTTTACTCTACACCTAATGAGGAAGATGAGGGAGATAATGTGGAAAATTGTAGCTCAAGTCAATGAGTTTTTTGGCACTAAACTTAACCAAGAGTTATAATATACAAACAAATAAACTCACATTTATAGAGCAGGTAGTCGAGCTCCAATTTTATAGAAAATTTTGCAATGATCCATTGAAGATCTTTTCCTTTTTAGAGAAAATGTTGGAGGAACTTTGCAAGAAGAGGTCCGGGTTTCAAGTTCTTGGGTATATGAATTATGTTTGTCAAATTTAAAGTCACACGTACCATTAGGTCCATTTGTTCCATGGGTGCATATTATAGTATATATTAAAGTTAACACCAAATTACGAGCTACAAACTTTAGACTTACCAGTCTTATGCTGAAGACTCTTTATTGAGACCCTTTATTGTGATTTGCTTACTGACCATGCATTGTTCATAAGCTTAGAAGTAGTCACTTCACAAACAAATCTATAAGTATCATTCATTTTATGAAAATATGTAGCTAAATGCTTTGATTGATAATGAATCATTACTCTTATCATTCTTGCTATGAAAATACTATGTATTTCTTATAGACATCTCACTCTACATGTTACTTGTTGTATTTGGTGTATTACTTATCTATTAGTTTGCAATATAAAACTCTCAATCAACTTGCACAAGAGCCATAAATATGAATCGTAATGGATAACAAGAAAAACACATAATTAAACTATTAATTATAGCTTTCTCACTTGGAATCCGAGGAACTGATTCTTCTTATATCCAAAAGAAAATCTAGAATTCTGAAAAAATGGATGAAAAATTAGAGAACTTGGATGAAAAAATTTGAGATAAAAGATTTGGGGACATTAGGAAAGCTGAGAGGGTCGACTCACGAGCTCGACATTGAGATTGTTGTCTCCGATTGCGAGAGAAATCAATGGAACAAATTAGGTGAGAAATTAGGATCTTGGATTAGGATTTGGTTGTGAATTATTTGGAGATGTAGGAGATGGAGAATAGAAGAAAGCAGGAGGAAGACTAAAAGGGTTGGTATTTTTCTGAAAACCGGAGCGGAATCGTAAACGATGGAATGAAGAACGAAAAGGACACACGTTTAGGGTTTTGATTTTCTGATTCCTGTGTAGCATTAAAAAATGGTAACTTTGTTAAATTTAAATTTATGATAGATGAATGGTATTTTTGGGTAGGAAAAGTTTTTCTAGTACTTCCTCTTTTAAAGGGAGAATGATTCATTTGGTACAACACCAAATAAATTAACTCATGAGGCTCATTTTGAAAAGCTGGTCTACCACTTTTGAAAAACTATCTTATAAACTCATGTAAATAAACTAGATTTAACCCCAAAAAAATTATTTTATCCAATATTTTTGTCCTAAAAATAAAAAAAACACTAAAAGCCAACATAACTTATAAACTTCAAAACATAAGCCCTCTCAAACACCCCATTAGCCGGTTCCATAATTAAATAAACTTTTTATATAAATTATACAATATATATCATTCATGGGGTTCACCGAGTGAGAAGACATGATTGATGAATTATAGAGGTTCTCTACAATCAATAATGTATACCTATATCCCTTACTAATCGTGTAATCGATGTATAGTTGCCCGCTCTTGTGCGGTTCTAATAAAATTTTACTCCTCCTACGCTAGAATAAACAAAATTGTAAGTTCTTTTTTTTTTAACGAGTAAAGACTCTATCATAACACCTTATAAAATTTGGTGATTTCACTGATAGTTATAAGGTTAGTTTGTAAATTTCAGACATTCTATTTAAGATATAAATTCCTCATTCTTACAGGTTGACCCTACTGCTATAGGACTGCTATCCAATTTGGTGTTACCAAGGACTTTACACTCATGTTTCTGGGTAATTTAGGTTTCGTTTAGATACCATGGTGTTTCCCTTAGTGTTTTTTTTAAAAACACCATGGTACTACGTTTTTCCTTAAAATATTTTCAAAACACCATGTTAAGTATTTATGGTCAACACTAGTTTGACTCATTATAACATTAGTATTAAATATATTATTAATATATTATATATTAATTATAATAAAATATATTATAAATAAAATATTATAATATTTAGTTTACATTATTATAGTATTATAAGTATTAAATGTAATGCAATATAATATTGTATAATGTATTATAATATTATATTATACTTTAATGAGTTATATTATATTATATTATAATTATTACATATTATTTTTAAATAATTATATATTTAATTATTTTGGTATATCAATTTGTTATTGTTGTATATTATATTAATATTTTTATAATAATGTTATTTTATTATTAATATAATATTATACTATTATTCATATATATATTTATTATTAATGTTAATATTATGTTATTAATAAATTAATATATTATAATATTTTACTATTATATATATATAAAGTTATTAATATGTTAGAGTTTATTAATAATACTTTAGTATTTATGATATAAATAAATATTATTATATTATGAATATATTATTTTCATTAACATTTGTTAGCAATAAATTATTTTATTATCAAATTTATTTTACTTTATAATAAAATTATATTATTTATTACATAATATATTAATATATTATATTATTATTTATATTTACTAATAATATGTTATATAATATTATTATTATATTGTGTCTGTATTTGAATATGTTATTTTAATATTATATATTTTATAATTACTAATTCATTAAAATTTATTTACTAAAAATTTAATAATATTATAGCGATTATACTATTGTATAGTATATTAGTATATTATTATATTATTATTATTTATTATCAATAACTTTTTTATTATTTTTATTAGTTTTTATATTTTATTATGTATTTATTTATTATATAATACATTATTAACATATTAAATATTGGTATTTAATATGTTATTATATAAGATATTTTATTTATTATATTTTTATATTATTTAATAAATATTACTAAAATGTTAAATTAACTATAATATAGTATAGTATAGTATAATATAATAAGTATATTAATAATAACTCTATATTAATTACATCTAATATATTATGTTAGATATTATATTAACACATTCTTAAACTCAAAACTAAAACATCAAACTTAAAACACCTAAATGTGTTTTGAAATAAATATTGTGTTTTTGATTTGATGATGATTTAATTCAAAAAACACTACGGTTTTCAAACATATAGTATTTTGTTTTTGGCAAAAACACCTTTATTTCTCACGTGTCATTGGATTATTGGCGATCTATTTGTCAAAAATCCCACGGGCTAATTAAGATCGAATCAAAACATACATAAAAACGCGCGATTAGTATTTGGGGAGGAAGGTGAGGAGCCGTTTTTGTCCGTATCAAGCAGTTAGGGAAAGCAATTTCTTCTTTAATTTGCTTTCCTTCGAAGGAAATCAAAAGCTCCTCCTTCGATCTCGATCCCAAATCCGTTCGCTACCTCTTTTTTCTTGAAAAATAATCAAAATCTCAATATTGGATAGAGAAAATTGAAAGTGAGATCGCTCCTTGGATAGAGAAAAATAATCAAAATCTCAATCTTGGAGGGAGAAAATTGAGAGTGAGATCGCTCTTTGGATCTAATCCTTGTGAAGCATGCAGAGCCGAGGCGGATCCAGTCCTCCAGAGTCTGGTGCTTCGCGCTCGGATCTCCCATGTGATGCTCGCCATGTTGGCCACCATGGCCTGGTCTACGTCTGAGATTACCGCCATAATTTCGATCCAACTTTGATTTGATTTTAATTTCTCGTGTTGTTTATTTGGGGGATTCAGTCTGTGGCAGGAGTCGCAGAATAGAGTTTATCTTATCAAAGAGCTCGATCGGAGGACTGGGCAGGTAATTTTTGCTATAATTAGGGTTTTGTGTAATTAGAAATTGCACTTCAACCCTTAAAAGTTTGATCTTGACCCTTAAATTGCAGGGAAAATCCGCTATATCAGTTGATGAGACGCTAAAAGTAGTGGCTTGCAGGTAAATTTGTTCTCTTCAACTGGTCTGTGGTTTTACTTTGATGGAGTTTGTAATGAAATGTTCTTTTTTTAGGCACCAGCAAAAAAGATTGGCAGCACTTGAAATGGAGCTGGCGGCTGCGAGACAAGAAGGATTCAAAGGGACATACTCATCGGAGAGTCATGGGAATGATACTAGGAAAAGACCGACGGTCGTCGTAGGAATAATTACTACATTTGGCAGGAAGAGCAATCGAGATGCTATTCGGAAATCTTGGGTTCCTACTGGTAGAATCCTCCACCTTTTTGCTATTTCTGGTTTCTTTGTTACATAACACTGAAATGATGCCTGCATTGATGCTTATTTTGCTAAAACTTGCTTGGTGAGGGAATGATTCGAATGACAACTTTGTAATCCATAACTATCAGATGGTACAACTATCTCGGGTGAGTTGTGAATTTTTATATGGATGAATACTATGGTCACAATTTGGCAAAGGTTTAATGGTGAGGAATTAGTAAAATGGTTAAATAGTTAACCCATTTTCGTCAAAGAAGGGTTCTTGGTTATCGTGCTGTAAGGTTTATATTAATCGTTGAGTTTTTTCCCCTTTTCTCTTTTTCGTCTTTGGAAAGAGAGGACTACCATCACTTTATATATGAATGAAGGAGTTATTTTTTTAATCCATCTGAAGACGTGGATTAGTAAACCCCTCATTGAGAGGTAACTTCTTTTAACCCGTATGGACAGTTTATGTTAACCTTATTATTATTTTTGCATGTGACAATTAAGACGGATAAGATAATTTTACTTAGTTTTACACATTTTTATGTTTGACAAGTTAAAGAAGGGGTACCTCTTCTTAACCCCCTAATTTATCCCATTGCCAAACAACTCTTTAAGTCTCTGGGAGGACTGTTTGTGGTGGATGCACATTGACACCACTATGATAAATCCTATCAGAATTAATTTAGGTTATCTCCTGTTTGAACCTAATATGTTGTGCCATGTTCTGATAGCTGTTCCTCTTTAGTTTTCTTTGTAATTCAAAATACAACAAAGCATCTAAATGCAAATGCATTCTGATAGCTGTTCCTCTTTAGTTTTCTTTGTAATTCAAAATACAACAAAGCATCTAAATGCAAATGCAAAACATAACAAGGGTGTAACGTTCGGGCATGTATAAGGAGATCAGAAAGTTAAGTAGGTAGGGGTAATGAAGAGAGGAGTAGGGGTAGATCTAGACAAACCAGGGACTAAGACAGTGAAAAGGAGATTGTAGTTGTTAATTTATCTGAGCACATGTCCCTTATCTGAGCTGAATGAAGGAATCAAGGATTCATGATATAGTCCACCCAGAAGAGTATCAGCAAAGAAGTTATGTTCTTTGAAATCTGTTATTAATCATAAATGAAAAATTAAGCGTTTACACTTTTTGGATGCAACACGTGATGATTATTGAATATCATTGTGCTGCCAGACTGACATCTTCCTATGGGCTTTGTCTTTATACAGGTCCTGCATTGAAAAAGTTGGAAGAAGAGAAAGGTGTTGTTGTAAGATTCGTGATAGGAAGAAGGTCATCTGCTCTACAAAAGTGAATCAAAAATATCATTTGAAGTTTCATGTCTAACTTAGCTAGTTTCTTCATTGCAGTGCTAATCGAGGAGACAGCATGGATAGGGCTATTGATGAAGAAAATGAGCATACAAACGACTTCATTTTGCTTGTATGTGTAATTTTTCCGTAGTTTCTCGTAATGCAACGTCAAGTACCTTTTCTGTCACATTATATGTTTATTTATGGGACAGTTGTTTGACATGCTCAATAAAAGTGTTCATTTTCAAGGGAATTTAAAGAATTTAACTTGACACCTTGTTTGGTACGCGGGAATTGAGTGAAGTGAGAATGGAATGAAACAAGGGTTAGAATGGAATTAATGTCAGAATGATGCTCATTTCCATTCTCAGGTTTGGATGCAATTGGAGAATGAAGTGGGAATGAGCATATGTGAAAGTTATGTATTTTTTTTATTCCCACTTAAGTGAGAATGATCATTCCCTAACATCTCGTTGGGAATGACCATTCCCACATAAAATGAGAATTGATGAGAAGTGGGAATGAGAATTGTATAGCTTACAAAAACACTTCGTGTTTGGTACAAAGGAATGAGAACTGGGAATTGGCATTTCATTCAAACGAGACGTAAGTGTTTGATTGCTCCTTAAGAGGATTTCACAACTGCAGTGTCGGTATCAATACATACACATCGATTGTGCATGCTATATTTAACTAGAATGCTGTTTGACGTGATAAAAATATGATCATAAATTCGTAGATTTCCAAGGGGGATTTAATATTTAGTTTCCTGTTGGATGCCATAGGCTGCAGTTTAAGGTGATGTCAAGAATAGAAACCTTTTTACTGCTTTTGCCAATATTGTATCTGTTGTGGGATATGTTGACTTGATTCCATACACTCTTGCACTGATAGTTCCGTTTGGTGTGGACTGCTACTCTGTGCTCTGCGTACTTAGCCTAAACAGTGAAATTCAAATGGGCCCTTTCGGGAACCAAACTGGGATAACTTTATTTATCTAAGCATCCTTTTCTAAGGATTTGTGTATTTTAGTTGTATTACTGATAAGTTGTCTAAACCTGTTGAATCTGCTAATCTGCAGTTTTACGCATTAGATTTTCAGGGTTCTTCACTAACATTGAAAATAAAGAAACTTGTGTCTGCTTCTGCCTGTCATTTTTTTTTTTGTGTTCATTCTGGGAGATTGTAGATCTCTCCTAATAGAACGCTGCCTATTTAACTGAAAACTATAGCACTATCATGTTTCTCTAATGGGTACAGTATGTTCACCTGTCCCCATTGTTGATTTTTTTACGTGTTAGAAGTATATATTTGTCTAATATCACATGTCAATATGAAGGTCTGCATTAGTTTTGGCTCGATATGGAGTATACATCTTGTTATTTATCATGTAACATTATAGTTCTTGAACAGGACAGTCAGATTGAAGTTTCTGAAGGGGAAAAAATATATATATATATATATATGATAATGATTTTCTTGTTCTTCTACAGGACAAACATATAGAAGCCTCTGAAGAAGCTTCAAAAAAGACGAAAAGGTTTTTTGTTTACGCAGCAAAGATATGGGATGCTGAGTTCTATGCAAAGGTTAATGACGATGTTTATGTGAACATTGGTAAGACTCACTCTTTTTGGTTCCATTGATTCCAAGTCCCATGCTATATACACTAAGACATTGTAATAAGTGTTAGTTAAGAACTGAAACCTGTTATGCATATTAATCCTTGTCAGTCAGACTTGGTACCTTAACTGAACTTCGATTGGACGTCATAAGATGTTGCTCTTTCTTCTCATTGTTTTAATCCTTTCCATGCTTTATTTCGATATCAGTTATCTAACAGATTTTCTTAATTGAACCAATCATAGTTACAACATTAAGAAATCTAATTGTATCTAACTTCTTTGTTTAGTACTCAATTGTCCTCCCCCTCCCGTGCGGTGGCTTGCCCTCAGTACAGGGCTTAAAACAAATACATGACAAGGATCTGACATAATTTAATTTTTTCAATTACCATGACAATGATCTGGAAGATGACAATCTCAACAAAAATCACCAAAAATGTAAAGTTATACCAGTTACAAGTGCAAGCAGCACTGCTTGTTACAGATCCACACTACCGTGTGACGAATACCTCTGAAGTCTTTACTAAGCAGCAAACAGAAATATATGTTTAACTCACTACATAAAGGTAGAACGAGTATAACATAGACCTCAGGCACAGAGAACATACTAGTCTGATGACGCACTCTTTTGATTGGATTTTAGTGCATGTTTATTGTACTTATATCCAAAGGAGGCTAAGCTATGTGGTAGTCTTGGTTAGAAGCGCCTCACAGGCACAAAAAATAAATTTTCAGATAAATAACAATGTCAAAAATGAAAGGCCAAAGCTTTTACATTTCAAATTAAATAAGATGGAGGTTTCAGTATTATTTTGCCCATCTATACCAATTTCCATTGAATTTCTGGAGCAAGCCCAAATGTTGATATTGGTTGAACCTAATAAACTGAACATGAAAATGCTAATATTGGGAATCTACATTACTTCATGATCAAACAAAAAGAAGGCTTCTAGAAATTGTAGTTCAGAGCCTTGAAATAAGCGAAAAGGAGAAAAAAGAGCAGAGGGACATACTGCTTTTTGTGTAACAAGTTGCTACTTCTGCTACAAGCTGATTCTGCTTCTTTATGTTGTTGAGGGCTCAAAATGACCGAGGGCAGGCTAAATGCATAAATCAAATGTCATTTGCTTTCAAGTTCCAAAATACAATTCCACATCAGTTTTATAAGTATCTGGAGTCAGAATGTTTTTAGTTCCAACCCATTTGATTTATGTAATGGGTGCAAATAATTTCATTTAATAATAAAATTCTTGTAAGTTTGCAAATCGACACCATCATATAAAAACAAATTTTGTCACTGCCTATGTCTTACAAAATCTTCTTTTTCATGTACCCCATCACAAATTTCTCACACCTAACAGACTACAACAGGAAACATACATACAACTGAAACACACACACACATAAACACACGCACACGCGCGCGCACATACAAAAAAAAAAAAAGAGAATTAGTATCTGAAATCACTGAGACGAGAATTTTAAGGAAAGCCCATAACTGAAATCAAATTCTCAAACTTCGACTGCCAATTTCTCGTCAACCTTCTAGTGGCTAGCGTGCCAATTTCTGATCAAGACAAGGGCAGTTAAGGCCATGCAGGTCTGGCTTCTTTGCTACATTGTCTTGGCTTCAAGGACCAAGAACCCAGATGAATATATACGATGTTAAGCTTAAATATGGTATTGAATGTAGACAAATATGTTACTGCCTTCGTTTCATGAAGTAACATAGAAAGCACACTTGCCATATTAAGCGACATGAACCCTGCTGGACCTCAAGGTTTCAGCCTGATCCTAGATCATATTCAATTATCAGTTAAAATATTTTTGCTGCTCAGCTAATCACCTCTTGCTTTTCCATTTCATAGCACATGCATGTGCACATATCATGTTAGCTTCATATACTTTTCCAAAATTTTATATTATTTACTGAATGAACTAGTTGAACATATATGTTATATTGGCATAGTTTTTATTTACCTGTACCAGGAACTCTTTCAGTAGATATTGTTTCTAGCAGTTTACTTTTGGGTGCATTGTTTTGGAATTTTTTTTCCTCCAGTTGTAGCAGGGGGTTCCTTGTGCTTTTGCTTATAATAATAGAAGAACTACTAAATGTTATTTTCTTTATAGATGGACTAGGGGCGATGCTTGCAACTTATTGGGACAAGCCTCGTGTCTACATAGGATGTATGAAATCTGGTGAAGTTTTCTCTGAAATGTGAGTGTAGCTAAACTATCTGTAATTAACTTGATTTCTTTTTCTCCTCTAAGACACTTATTTACTTTGTCCTTTACTAATTATTTTATTTCACTCTGTTGATATAGGAGTCACAAATGGTATGAGCCAGATTGGTGGAAGTTCGGTGATGGAAAATCGTAAGTAACTTTTAACTGACTCTTCATCTAGCTTATGGAATCATCACCTTAAAACGAATGTTTGGAAATTTCTTTGTGCATCATTTAGATTTTTGTATTGTGCTTGGTCAACTTCAATCTTTAGGACTTCTATTGAACATTGAAGTTTCAACATTCTCAGAGGGGTCATGGAGGTCCTTTTTTAAGTTTCATCTGTGGTGGTGGTGGTTGTAATCTCTATGGATTGGGATAGTTACATTTCATGTAACATTTGCATAGCCATGAGAAAGATACCCAATTCTTAATACTACGCAAGGTTATAGACTTGTAGCATGTGCCGGCTGAACTATGGAGAAAATGTTATATAGGTGAAAAAAAGAGGTCAAACTGCAAGGATCGTGCACGTTCATCTTCCTGATTATCTTTACTTGTGCTCAGAGTCAAATGTGATTGTACATGCCTTGAATTGATGGCTTGCATATTCACTGCTAGCTTAAGGCTGAGTGAGGATCTATGTTAGGTAGTGATTAGGTGCCATCAATTAACAACATATCAAGCAGAATGTCTACATTGCAATCAGAACCCGGCCTTGGCATGGATTGTTCATGTGTTATACTAATGACTAATGAGTGTTGTTTTCTCAAAGACATTCGGACAAGTGCCCCCATGCATAGCTTTAGGTGCTAATATCTAGTTGGCCATATTTGGGTTTCAGTCAAATCAGTTACATGTTTCATCTTATGAACACTCTATTATCAGTAGCTTGTGATACTGAGGACCTATTCAACAACTATAAGGGTACTGCAAGTACAATGGGTATAAGGGTTTTGTTATTGTCACATAGAAAGGTATTCTTTGAGCAAGGATTTTTAATTTGTATTTATTGGGGTGCACACTCGATTGAAATCATGTTGCAACTTACAGAGAGTCTGAACGCTATTCCAGTGCCAATCTATACGCAATTTTTGGTGATGTATTAGCATTTCTCATGCCATTTAGCAATTGAGAAGGCTTTCCAAAATTTCACCCATTTTCAATCTGATGTATATAAGTTGAAACCATTTCATTTGGTTTCTTGCTTCTTGCAGTCAGTATTTATGAAGTGAAAAGGTGCCAAATGCAAGTTATAGGAAGATGGATATATATATAATTAATACATGTGATTTGACTTCTGTTTGTACTAAATTCATGAAAATATTAATCTATTGTTAAAGTCTTCATCCTGTGGATTAAGAAAAAAAAAATATGAGAGTAGTTTACCTATGGAGAAGTGCTGAAACTATTGTAATACCCCAAGATAGTCCCACATTGACCAAGAGTGAGCATTTGAAGGGTTTAAATAGTGAAGTCAAAGGCCTTGAGCAACTAGTGCTAGCAGTTTTTGACGGGCGGATTGAGCCAAACAATGAGTTACTCTTTGTGGGTCTCATGGCTTACATTGCAGCAACGGGCTTGTGGGCCTCGGGCATGACGAATGGCATTGGAGCAATTAGCCAATCGAAAGTGTGGAGTCAATTGCTACGCTAGATTAAGTGTTACACTGCGTGTGCGTGGTGGGAATCACCTCTAGAATTCATAGGAACCACCTTTAAAGTTCACATCGCCGGGTGGTGATACTGGGACGGACCAATTGGCATGCTGTGACAAGGACATTACATATTTAAGGAGGGGCGATTCTAATACCCCAACATAGTCCCACATTGACTATTGAGGAAGAATGTGATGGGTTTAAATAGTGAAGTTATATGACTCAAGAGTAGCTAGTGCTATCACTTTTTGGTAGTGGATTGGGCTAACGAATAAGTTGCTATTAGTGGATCCCACAACTTACATCACACCAACGGGCTCGCTGAGCGAGCCCTGAGGCATGAAGCTGAACAAGCTTTGGTGATATGTCTTATAAAAGAAAGATTTTTCATTTGAATAGCTAACCAAAAGGGAAATAACAGAGTGCTTCTGAATAAGGGAGTACGAGAAATTGTTCTCGTGTGCCAATACATCATGGCCCATATTTATCTCCCAAAGCTCATATCTTGGGCAGCAAATGGATAAAGAGACAAATTGAAAAAATATACAATTGTTTAAATTGTGCAATATGGTGAGAAATATGGACGGAACATCAAGAAGATGTTGCCCCTGTTTAAGAAGACTAAAATTTATATTGATTAAATAGAGATAATTAAAAAGGAGATACTCTTTTCTTTTCAACATAAGCAAAACAGTTAGTGGTTTTATAATAAAAAAATCCGAATTCTGTCAAGAACGTCATACATTGTCAATTGTGGTGTATAACTATTGTTTGGTTTGTGAATTA